ATACATTCAACTTCAACAATCGCGCTAAACAAATGCTGTAATGTCTCTCATGCTCTCTGACTGCAGTTCAATAACTCACTATCTATACACACATTACATTCCCCTCTTTTATATACCAGTCTACCCTCCATCCAGTAATTACTAGAGCATTCGCCAAGATACGAGATAGTTCTAGAAATGTGGCGTCACTGTAGTCACGTGACTCGCTGACGCAACAATTTATTTATGTATATAAATCCAGGGTGAAATTTTCAAAATATGGGTTAGTTTGGTTAATCTGTATACTTATGAAAGTCTTTGTCAATATTGAGAACAGAAATTTGGAAGCACTAGATGAACATGAGATTTATTTAAGTTAAATGTATACAGAAGGAGCAGATGTATTGATACATGTTAAATTCAGTTACAAACTTTTTATTAAAATTTAGTATTTCACATAAAATATGTGACAAGTAACCTTAATGTTGAATCAAAACTTAGACGGCTTAGCTGTATAAGCTTTGTTTCAAATATGGTAGTGAATGATATTTTTATACATGGAAGGTGTCATTGGTAGGACATTCAAAATAATAGTGAAATTATAAACTTATTTGATTCAACAAACATTACCTACAGATTTGCACAACCATTGTAAGTTTCTATTTCATGCAGTCAGAGTGTGGTATTACATTAAATAAGAGCATGAAATAATAAAAATAGATATAAATATTTTGCACAAAAATAATGTAATTTATAAAGGATCAAAAAAGTATAATTAGTTAATACTTTCTTTATATTGTGAGCCACAAAATTTTACTGTTTATGTAATGTTTATTGCATATTAAAATTGTCTTTCATTTGTGAGAAAGGAATCTTGTGTTTTATTATAGATATGCCACACCGTGTAAATATATTTATACATTAAACATTTTAAAACCTTCAATAACATACATAACTCAAAACAGTCTAGTATTATATCATATCTCAGAATCATGCTGATGTATATACTGTAATGCTGCCAGTGACAGTTGAGTGTAGATATCCTTGTTAAAATGGAAAATGATTGAAAACTACACAAAAAAAGTAAATAAGCCAAGAAAAACTGAGTGGACTTAGTTGGGTTGCTGTGTTTGGAGCTACATGCAGTAATAAATAGTGGACACAGTGACTGAGAATTTTGCACAGCTGAAAGATTAGTAAATGTAGCTTTAACAATAAATACCTTGGAGAGTGTCTAATATATATTACTTTAATCCTGATGGTTCAGACAATTTTTTTTGAAAGTGTGAAGATCATTAACTCATTAAATTTTTTGTGCATTCTGCCAGAATTATTTTTGTGATTTCCTAATAATTATCATCATATCTTATAAAATTATGGGGTCTTGTAACAAGTGAGAATTCAAGAACACAGAGGTCAGTGGCAAAAGCCCTCCACTGTCCCAGGCAACAATACACAATATAATTAAGGAGGATCCTCATCTGGAAATGAGGCCAACAGGTCATGAGTTCACCAAGATAAAGCTTCCAGTCATACCTTCAATCTTGTTATCTTGGAAGCTAGAGAATGAAATGGGTATTCCATATGAAGACATACCAATGAAATTGCTGGTAGCAGTATTTATGTGTTTCTGTGCAACTGGACCATTAAAATGGGTACTGGAAAACTTTTGTTTTCATATGCTAGATAGAATATGGAAATCATGCAGGGAGGAATGGTGTGCTTTGGACTTGTAAACCTTATGATAGAGCCTTTTGCAATGGAAACTACATTGCAGAGCCATTGTAACGATGTATGGTCATCAAATAGAACATGAATAGATGTGGTCTTTAATGACATAGATGCTCTAAAACAGTTTTAATATAATGTACTGCTCTGTATCACATTGCTGTTATCTAGACTTTATATATTTTTTCAATTGTAGTTAGTCTAGTAGTATGCACTTATTTGAAAATGGCTGGATTTTGCATATGTCAATTGTAAACTTAGTATTGGGGAGGGGGGGAAAAGATAATTCAAAGTCAGTATAAGCGGAAAAACTGCAGCATTACAGTGACTCCTACTTTAATATCAAAACTAAGTGTGATTAAATATTTCTATATGAACATATCACTTGCAACCAATTACCTTCATGGTAACATAAAAAGCTGTTAGTCCTCTTGAAATTGTTAGTGATGAATTTCTAGCCTTATTTTTCTATAGTTGAAAGGCTCTGATAATAAAATGCAACTTCAGATCTTGCATGTGGTCAGGATTTCTACAATTGTATTTGTCTTCTCACTCAAGAACAATTGAGTAATGATTTTAAAAATAACTTTTTGTGCCTTACCAAAAATATAAAAACTGCACAGTAAGAACAAAAAAATTATTTTACTTTTTGTATACCTAAAGTTATATCAGTAATGTTAAGTATAAGTTAAAAATCAAAGTAATTTACTTAGTCCTATTAGTAGTTAGTGAAAATTTGTAATACTGATCATTTGGCTATAGAAACACTATTATAAATTTAAATATTAATCTTGAATAAGTAATGTAATCTTAAGTGTAAATGAAATTACAGTATGGGTTGGAAGTAACAAATAACATTCTG